ATACCACAGGATTGTGTAATTAGAAAATTTTTGCAATTTATCACTTAGATTTCTTTCAACCGCGAAGGCGTTTTTCAAGATGCGAAAAAAGCGTTCAATCTGAAGGTAAACCGAATCCCATGTTTGCTTGAATTTTCTGCAAGACGTGTTTAGGAGCATAATTCTGGTGTTTTCTCTGTAGCTTTCAATTCTGATTCGTCTCGAGCGGTCACTGTGTCTCGCGATGGATTTTGGCGAGTGTTTGATACTGATATTCGTTATCAAGCAGGACAAGAAGCACAAGTCCTTAAACGGTAAGTCAGCAAAATGTTCCATAACTTACATCTGTATTCTAATCCTTGCACGTTTTTCTGCTTCGCATCATCATAGCCCCGAAAATTTGTTTCCAAAATTGAATGAAGCTTAATGACCTTTCCAGACACACAGTATGACTAATTCTTATTTCGCATATTGTTTTCAGACTTCCAAGCTTACTGAGAAAAGTTAGTGTTAATTTCTGCCTAAAAACTTCTTGCGATCTCCGCATTTTGTACCTACAAGCAAATCTAGATTCACTGTTGCTACAGAAGAACATCCCTAAACTTTATTTTGCTTTGGCCAAAGGTGAGGTTCAAATACAAACACCATATCTTTAAGTTTAGTGTTATATCTGATGCTATATTCCAAAGCATCTACGTTTTCGAATTGAGTTATTTTTTCGACATTTTCCGTTGTGCATGCTTAATGAGCTCAACGTGTAAGTTATAAGCTTTAAAATTAAGATGTCTCTGTCTATAGACACGAAAAGGTTTTGAAGAGAAGATAAAGGATGAGTGCGTTTTACACATGAATGGAGTGAACTGATGACTTTTCTAGTTTTATGTTGTGGAAGTTGACTGCATTGCCGTTTTTAGAGGTGAATGGACGGTATTGAAAGGAGCTAGCGCAGATCGCGTTCGGCTAGCGATGAGTCCTTCAGGTGGAAGCTTTGCAGTAGCTTGCGGATCTGCATTGAAGGTGTTTAGTAGTGAGGATGCTAACAGGGACTTTCCGGAGTGTGAGTTGTATACTGGTACTCGTAGATGTCAAAGCTTTGTGATGCTGTATCCTCAACTAGAATCTGCGTATGCTGAAAGTTTTAGTGCAGTGTGGTGTCCTTTTGATTTGCTCAAATCTTCTTTTCAGTACCTAATGTTCATGGCGATCAACCTATTCAAGTCATCCGATACTCTCCTTGTGGTCGACTCATAGCAACCTGCGGTGATCGCTATGTTCGTGTCTTTCGCAATGTTCCAGAGTACCACAGCCAGGTGATCCGTCTTGGAAAGGTATGCTCGTGCTTGCTAATTAACACGCCTG